GTCAACCTCTCATGACTGTTAAGATAACATTCCTATATCACTTACAACTTTTTCTAATCTGTGAATTATTGATTCAGTTGCCACAGACCACATGTTTACAAGCTTTCTCAGCATAATCTCCATGCTCCGGAAGAGATACTATTAATATTGCTGATGATTCATGTAGTTCCATTGCAGATAAAGGGATTGTTGTTCTAAGAGTCGGGCTGATTTTGGAATTTGTGTTATAGTACATTTTGCTAAGTGTAACATTTTGGCAGTCTACAGGTTGACATTTGACCTTAATTGTGCTGCTCATTCTTCTCTTAATGTTTGTGTCCTTCAAGATCGTCGTTTGAGTAGGATAATTGGAACTGTTAAGCAAGTAGTTGAGCTCTGCTTCTTCCAAGGGAAGGCATTGATGATGAGGACACTCCATCCAGAAGTTGTAAATTTTAACTGTCTACTAAATGTCATATAATGCTTCTACATTATCGTTTGAGTCATCCCAATTTTTAATATTTAAAACAGTTGTATCATTTCATGTTTACGAATAAAAATTTATCTAGGTTCAAATGTAAGATTTGTCAGTTAGCTAAACATCGCCGCGTCTCAAATCCACCCCTCTTACACTCTCTCTGCTCCTTTTTCACTAATTCATTCATAGTGACTTATAGGAATCCTCTCGAACTTCGAACTACACCAATAAATAATGGTTTCTTATCTTGATTGATGACCATACTCGAATGACTTGGATCTATATCTTAAAAGCCCAACCTGAAGTTGCGGCCATCTTCGGAAATTCACTTTTTACCCAAGTCAAAACATCAATTCAAGTCCCTAGGGCCGACACAATCGTGAATTTTTTAGCTCTATATTGGAAGAATTCTTGGTAGGTAAGAGCATCCTCCATCATAGCTCCTGTTGGATACTCATTAAAATGAGATAGTCGAACGAAAAAATCGAAACCTTCTCAAAGTTATTTGTTCCATTATATTTCAATCTAATATCCCGAACGATTGTGGAATCATGTCGTACTTACCGTCAAATATCTCATCAATAGAGTCCCCACAAAAATTCACAACTTTCAGACTCCTTTACCTGTCTTGATGTGATGTTTTCCTACCAATAATTTCTTCTCCACTTTAGACCCCAAAATATTTGGGGGCATGGCCTTTGTTTAAAATACTGCGCCAACTTTTAGTAAACTTAATCCCTGTTTAAACAAATGTATCTTACTTGGATATTTTGTCGCTTAAAAAGGCTATTGGTGCATTGATTTTATCACAAAAAAACTCTATGTGAGTGTCAATGTCTCCTTCTTTAAAAGTGTCCCGCACTTCCCTAACACTGCTCCAAGTGAGGGGGAGCTTGGTTTTTTCAACACTTCCTTTTTTGAATCCAGTTAATATTCCACATACACCAAAAGCCAATGTTGCCGAGGAACCCTCGGTCCCACTAGATCCGCTGGCAACCAAGCCAACATCTTCCATCCACTCTGTGTGTATATGCTCGATGCATCAAACCTTCAATTGAGACTCGTCTCAATGCTCCTACTCTTGAGCCCGCTGCCTACTTATAGGTCTTTAAATCTACTCTTACGGACATCCACGGAACTACACTCTCTCAACTTGAGGGGATTACTCCAGCTATGAATGAGGAGGTGAGTTCTACCATTGAGGTACACAATCAGGCATGCTCTTTTAATTCATGGAAAAATACATTTCATTCTACAGCATATCGCCGACCTACAAAGCATTTGTGACTTCCGTTACGAATCATTATCTTCCATCAACTATTAAGGCAGTATTAACAGACACTTCCTGGAAGGTTGTAGAAATGGATAAGATGAATGCCCTTTGGTGAAACCATATGTGAGATATTGTTGATCTTTCTTGAGGAAAGAAAACAGTGGGTTGCCGGTGGATTTTCATCATCAAATTTAACTCTAATGGATCCTTTAACAAAGCAAAGTGCGATTGGTTGCTAAAAACTACTCGCAAACATATAGAGTTGACTATGAAGAGATATTTTCTCCAGTTGCTAAACTGAACCCCATTCGGGTTCTGTTATCCCTTGTCGTGAATCTAAATTGGTCTTTACTCCAACTGGATATCAAGGATGCTTTCCTTAACGGTGAATCTCACAGAGGAGGTGTATATGTCTCTCCCTCCAGGCTTTGACCCTACTGCTTCCCGTGGACAAGTGTGTTGACTACGAAAGTCCATCTACATACTGAAGCAATCCCCTTGAGCCTGATTCGGCAAGTTCACATAGGTGATAGTGAGCCATGGGTTTTTTCAAGCTCAATCTAATCATACTTTTTTTCTTTCGGCATTTCTCCAATGGTCATATTGACATCCTCATTATCTTTATCGATGATATTGTGCTTGCAAGTAACGATCTTCCAGCCTTAGAGTCTCTTAAAAGCATCCTCGTCATCTTTTGAAATGAAGGAATTGGGGTTTCTCCGATATTTCTTAGGCATGAAAGTTGTTCGGTCCTCTCATGGCATTAGCCTTTCCCAGCGCAAATATGTGATGGAACTATTAACCGAGACCAACCTTCTCCATTGCAAACTAGTTGTTGATCCGATGGATCTCAATGAGAAATTGGCAGATGTTACCAATGTCGTTCCGGTGAAAAAGACACACTACCAATGCCTTGTGGGTAAACTAATTTATCTCGCCCATAAACACCCCAACATTTGCACACTGTTGGTATTGTAAGACAGTTTATGCATGACCCCTATGAGCATCATCTCACTGTTACCCACCGGATCCTCCACTATTTAAAAGGCACACTAGACTAGGATTTATTGTTCTCTCACCACACCTCTAGCTTTATTGCAGTTTATACGGACATTAATTGGGCCGAGTCCATTTATGATCGGCGATCTACCTAAGGTTATTGCTCCTTCGTGCGGGAAAACTGTCATTTGGAAAAGCAAAAAACAGTGGGCGGTTGCCTGTAGCAGTGTTGAAGTCGAGTTTCATTCTATGTCCTTAGGAATATGTGAAGCTCTCTAATTGTGCATCATGCTCCATAAGTTACGTATGTCGATCTCTATTCCTCTGCAGTTGTTCTATGATAATAAAACCACCATCAGCAGTGCTCATAATCTAGTCTAGCATGATCGCACCAAGCATGTAGAGATAGACAGCCACTTCATCAAGGAGAAACTCAATTCTCGGGAGATTTGTGTTCCATTTATCATATCCAGTCATCACCTAGTAGATATCCTCACAAAGAATCTATCACGGTTATTATTTGATGATTTCAAATCCAAGTTCAATATAATTAACATCTATGCTTCAACTTGAGGGGAATATTAGAATTATTTGATTATTTCCTTTCTTTAAAGGTTATTTCCTAATTTATGTATTTGTTTATGTATTTCCTAGTTTATAACTATTGTATCATGTATTTATACCCCTTTTAATATCAATGAAATCATCCTGTTCAATTTCCACAGCCTCTATAGATAAGGTAAGCCCTAACTCTAACCACAAAATGCTTGCATTTTAGATCTGCTTAGATTCATTTAGAAAGGGGATAGTTGATTGAACTAATTAGGGTTTGATCTAATAATTAGATTTCTTTACTCATGCTTAATTAGATCTTAGTAATCTTGATTCCCCTTTATTCCTTTTTCATAATTGCTGAAACTCGGATGGCTATCTTTAGAATAATATATATGTGAATTTTATTTTATAAATGTTGGATCCTAATATATACATAGGCAGATACCACCTAAGAAAGAGTTGTGTGAGGAGAGAAGAAAACAAATTTGATTTTATTGATATAAATGGAATCTCCTTCACTCAAGGATTCTAGATTTCTAACCTCCAAGGATCACCTTACTACTCTAAGAATCACTTTATCCTCCCTTCCCTCATCATATGTACCTCATGATGGCCACGACTATAAATAAGTTAGGCTAGCCAGAGTATGGTACATACAACGCTATATAAGAAACAAAATGTTACAATGTGCTAAGTATAGAATAAAGTACGGATCAAAATAGCTGACGTGACTTGTTTGCATGCTCGATCTTCGGACAACATGGTGAGGTAGAGCTAAATACTTGGGACAGTTCACCATTGGATTTATGGTAGATGACTTATTATGCTGACCCAACGAGCTGGCCAAACGCTGTATACTTCTCAAACAAATAAAATCTTGTCCAAGAAAAACTCTATATCCAACAAGAAAACAAACACTTAAAGGGCCTTCTTTTATTTGGAATCTTTAATATTAAAAGTAGATTTGGACCATGCTTGAAAACATAAGTTGAAATGTTACTTATAAATGCTATTTCACAAGGGGATCCACTGACAACCCCGTACCCACATGCAAACTAGCCATGATCTTCACGCTGCCACCAAACTTAAGCGCAATGGATCCACTGATATCCAAGGAAACAAGCCACATACATCATCATCACTAAGGGTTCACAACATAGAACATCAATATCCAGTGCCTCTACCACATATCTAACAAGCTCGCTCACCGAATTGAATTCCCTCAGAGGATGTTTACTGTTACAGCGGTACTTAAACCACTTGGCTATATGAATAAGCTATGCGGGAGAGAAAACCTCTACCCTTAACCTAAAGGTTACTTCAGCTGAAAGCGTTCAAAAATCACAGACATACATTCGGTTAAAAATCCAGATGCGCAGTTAAGTGACACTATCACCCTCCGAGCCCAAAAAGACAATTCAGAATCAAGCAAATTCGTAAAATCCCCATCAAAACACAAGACCACTACCAAAACCGCAGACACATCCCCAAACTCGAAGAAATCAACAGCACAAAGAAGCAAAAAGCAACAAAATAACATCACAAAAGCAAAACCCAGCATCTCTTATCCTCCACCGATCTACTAAAACCCCATTCCTCAAAACTCTCCAGAGAACAAAATCTCTCAAGAGAAATCACAGGATCAAGCTCCAAAAGGCAGATCACCAAATAAGCGAATGGAGATGAAGAGAAGATTGGAAGAATGTTAAGAGATACCTATTCGGGGAAACATGTCCCCTAGCTCGAAACCCTTGGCTCCTTTGGCCTCATCCTGCTTCTTCCTCCTTACACCTTCCTCTCTCATCTCTGGCAATAATGGATAAAATAATAAAAACTTATTGCGCAACTTAAATTTGTACGGATTCTCTTTTTTTAATTCGTTGTTGACGTTAGAAACTAGGTGTGTATTTTTATGTGTGAACAAAACTATAATAACTAAAATCCGTCTTCTTCCTCTCTTATTTATTTTTTAATTGCATTATATATTTACATATCTAACCTTTAGGGTTCCATATTTACACACATAATATTCAAATTTTTACAATTGTATCTAAAACATCATTATTATTTACTTGTCTTTTCTTATATATTTATATATCCAAAGAGCTAAATTTAACTTTTAACATAGGGGTCGTGTTAATATGCATAAAAAGGTGTATTTCACTTTTTCAAAATCAAAATAATGATTTTTTTTATGTGATAATTTTGGTAGTATAAATCTGAAAAGTAGATTTTTAGGTATTAGAGATGTAAATAAATAAGAATTGAGTGGTATCGATGTAAATGCCCCTTATTTAAATCATATATAATTTAAGTCGCCATATTAGTACTCCACGATAAAATACTTCAAAATTCTGGTATGAAAAAAGCTTTCACATTCCCTAAATACGCTTGCATTATACTTGTAAATAATATTATAATCCAAATAAATAATGATTTTGCTCATCTCATGTTGTTCTTGTTTTTTCTTAAATATTGAGTATACAATATAATTTCCAATTATATACTTCTAAAACAAAGTAAAAATTTACACACATTCACATTTTTAGCGCATATCAATAATTCAATATATAAATTATGAACAATAGTTTTTATCTTGTAGTATTTACATATATTAAAAATTTTGAAATTGCGTCTCAAATTAGTTAGTGTTGATCCTGAGGTGATCTTACGATCCAAAAGGAAACGGTGCGATAAAAAATGGCTCATCGACAGAAATTCGTGAGGCCTACTTATCCCATCAAATGAATATGTCTGAGCCAAGCCAGCAAGACCAAAGCCGATCATACCGGAAGACTGACCAAAGATGACTAGAATAATAAAACGAGCACTGAGCAAAAATTGAGACAAATGGGTATCTGAGTCAAATTGCCGTAGTAGAGCCAATCCAAGGGAAGATATATTTCCTTAGTATCTCCAACCATGTCACGGCCACACAGATGCTCTTCATCAAGGTTGAAAGATCAACAATCATGTCATATCAACCGGTCGACCCATATTTACCAAACTTAGCCGACTGAACAGATGTTGTCAACCTGAGCCATCTAAGCTTAGGTGGTCATGTCAGAAAAAATTCAGATGACAGACTTACCCATATAAAATACTAGAAATAACAAATTATATATCCTCTTAAAGAAGGGAAAAAATGTAATATCATAATTATATATCTTCTCCTCTATAAATAGGAGAATCATTTTATGAATAAGACAAGATTGATTTTGGCATATTATTATTCATTCTCTCTCATTCAGTCTCACTTTCTTTCTCCATCTCTCGTTATTTATATTATATTCCATAAATGTGATTCACAAACAAATTAAGATTTAACATTTTAGGTGCGGTGAGTTTGAATTGTGTCATCAACAAGAAGAGGAGTAACACAGAAAAAAACACAGAATAGAGACACAGGCAACGTGGAGTGCACCAGAAAATTTGTGACCCAACAGATCTAGGAGTTGAAGGATCATATGTTGAATTTCATCTGAGGTGCGCTAAGCTAGGGAAGAGAACAACAACCTTGAGAGGAAGGGTTAGCACCCAACAGTAAAAAGAGTCCCCCCAACCTTAAAAGGGGATGCTGACTCTTAGTACTTTAACATTATTGGTTTGATAATGATCAGTCGGGATCAGATCAAACATATTGAGACACCGTAATAACCCGAGTATGCATTCTCTCAACAAATCTCTGAGGTTAAGCCACCAAAATGATTCAAGTTCCCAAAACTAGAGTCCTGCATTTTGTGTAACTATTTGGCCAGCCATAGAGCCTCGTTTAAGTCAATCGTGTGGAGTCTACTAAGCTTTATTGAGGTGCTAAAGCATCATCTTTTGTTTTCACAACATTGAGGGAGTGGAGTCTCAAGTGACTCAACGAATTATTATCGGGAATAATCACATTGTTTGTTGTCTTTATATGAATGTTTGTGGTGCAATTCTCGAGTGTTCATAAACCACAGATGAACTCTCACACTCTTCTACAGCTTCAATAAGGATAGAGTGAGAGTTTGTGCTTGTTTATCACTCGCTTTTAAAAGGAAATGTTGGAAGTAAGGAACCTAGAGCCTATTGTTTCTCATGTCTCCCTAACTTAGGGGCTGAAGGAAGGACCTTCCTGATATGTGTTAGGCCCACAACAACAAAGACACTAGCTAGGTTATTGGGGCTGGCCAACAACCATATACTGGCTCAGAGTATAACTCTAATTATGTTTTTTGTAAAGTGGATTATCCACACGTCTCTCATAGAAAAGGGTTGCTCAGTTTGAAAGCTAGAGACTAAGATATGATTCGTGACCTTCCACTTATCCTCGATACGAAGACACTCGACCACCCTGAGAGCACAAAGTAACTGACAGACACATAAAAAATGTACTTAGGTTTGATATTCTAACCAGTGGATAGCTTGATATGACGAGTGTACACTCCCTAACCACAAGGATCCCAAACAAACTCATTGAGAGCTTCAATGATCGAGATAATATAGGTCATACAAAATAAAGACTAATTTCATAGAGCACCACCGATGAAGATCAGAGCTTACCTCTTAGATCTGAAGAAGTATTGTGCCTACCATTGATACAATGAAAATATATGCATTTTTAGACCCATATTTTATACTCATTTTTTGTGATATTTCACTTTAATGGAAGGTATTTTGATGTTTCTTGCAAGTTGTTGATTTTTGGGGCTTAAAGCAAAAAGGATGAAATTTGGAGTCAAAATTATATTTTTGAAGAATGCTCAGCGCCGGCAGTGCCGACGACGCAGAACAACTTAAGGCTGGATATTTTTACTCAGCGCCGACGGCGCCAGACCAGCGTTGACGGCGCCAAAGGCGGTGCAGACCCCGTTTGTAGAAGGTTCGATGTATTTGGATAATTTTTTGAAGAGTTTTTGGAGACACCTCTTGGAGAACAGACCTTAAGCTCTATTTGGGACCAAATTTCATTAGAAAAAGTGTTCCTCTATGTTTTTCACTCCTCTACGTTTATTTTTCGCACCACATCATTCCATTCCAGTACCATATTGGAGTCAATTTTTTATTTTGCTTTCATAGTTTAGAGTTTTTGTGGTGAGATTTAGTGTGAAACTTTCTATAAGAGTGTTGGAGAAGTAGAAAAATGAGAGATATCTTCTTCCTGCATTTCTAAGGAAAGGCTACAAAGGATTTTCTTTAAGAAAGAGTTTTTAGATAAGTATTGTTTGTTTATCAATGTTGTATAAACTTTCTTTTATATATGAAATTTATGTTTTGTTATTTCTTTCTCATGAAGTCTGAGTAGTTCCCTCTATCTTTCTCCCTACTCTGAGATATGGTGAAATGAAGAGATAATAATAGTCAGTAGGAAAGTCCTATGGCTAGACCTTAGGCTACTAAAGAGGAAAAACTAAACCTCAACCAAAAGTGAGGTCAACAGAAACATATGATCCAAGAAATAGAGTATGAGTTTTACAACAGAGTGAGGATCACATTTGATTCCATGGAGGAGAACATTGTTCATGGAATTAAGTGAAAATAAATAGGAAAATATTTTTTGTTGGGTGTAGAATTGGAGAACCTTTAGGGTGATAGACTAAAATCTTCAATTTGATCTTATTGTTTAAAAACTGAAGCAAGAGCTAACCTACAGGTGAAGGGAAGTGGGAGCCGGTATCCTCCTAGCCTAGCCCCGAATTTAGGGACTAAACACTAAGATTAACCAATGATTTTCTATGCACTGTATCAGGGTAGAGAATTAAAATTGCTCCTATTTGACACAATACATATTATGAACATTTATCTCATCTCATTTTACCATAGCTTCATTGTAGTGGGAGTGATGTTTTTTCACATAAAAATCTTCATTACATAAACATAATTAATAGATTAGTATTTACTGCTTTAAACTTTATATTTTTTATTTGATAATAGTTTAGAAATTTAATTTTGATTGTATTTCAACAATTGAAATTAGTGATAGTGATTTCAATTGACTTTCTGTGAATTTCCTAGCAAATTTATCATCTCCAATTTAAACATTCCCCGTGGGATTGATAATTGGGGCTTAAATAGAAAGTCCATTATTACTTGATAACGATACGTATACTTGCGTAGAATCCGAATATTAATTGATTATACTTATTTAAATTTTACACAATCTGTCACAACAAAAAAATCAGATCAAGTTTTTGGCGTCGTTGTCGGGGATGCTAATAGTTAAATTAAATAGTTTTGATAAATTAGAAAATTTAGAGATAATATATATACCATAAAAAAATTTAAAAATTAAAAATCCAAAAAGAAATATTTTTATTAGTGTTTATTTTACTTTGCTTACTTTATTTGTTTATGCGAAATATTGGATCTGAATGTTTAGTACCTTACGATTCAGAATTAGAATGTAGTATTAGAAAAATTCGAAAACAACAAAGAGAAATTGAAAATTTATAAGAAATGGCAAATAACTTAGATAATCCAATAAAAGAAAATTGACAAAAACCTTTAAAAGATTATGCGAATCCGACAGTAGATGAACTTCACCTGACTATTCAAAATTCTAATGTTGTTGCTAATTCATTTGAGCTTAAACCTGCTATTATCCAGATGATATAAAATAATCAGTTTGAAGGATCACTTACTGAAGATTCTAACTTACATCTTGCTAGTTTTCTTGAAATTTATGCTACATTTAAATATGACAGAGTGTCTAATGATGCTGTTAGGCTTAGAATTTTTCCTTTTTCATTAAGGGATAAAGCCAAGGCTTTGTTAAATTTGTTAGCACCTGAATCTATTATAACTTAGGGAGAATAATCACAAAAAATCTTGGCTAAATATTTTCCGCCCTATC